ATCGGAACCGTATCCGCGCACAGGTCACGGTCGAGGGACGACCACTCACCGCCACCTTGGATACGGGGGCCTCGCATAGCTTTATAAGCGAGCGCCTGGCAAGGGCACTCCACGACGGGAAGAACCATCGTGCCGTGCGAACGCGGGTGAAGTTAGCAGACGGAACCGGCAGGGAGCTCACGCAGGCCCTGCGAATCACGATCCAGCTGGGAAAGGCTCGGGTCAGCGTCTCCGCCCTCATCATGGCGGATGTGCTGGACGACCTTCTACTCGGGATGGATTTCCTGTGTTACGGAGGAGCCACACTACAGTGTGGGGGCTTGACCCTCCAACTCGAGCCACCCATTCCTGACCAACCCACGAGGACCAGCTCGCCGACACCAACCGGGAGCAAACAAGCCGCTCCACGAGCGCACATCGAAGCCGCCACCCAGGCGCACTCACCGGCCGCCGCAACACAGGCGCAGCCCCAAGCCGCCACCCAGGCGCACCCCGAAGCCGCCATCCAGGCGCAAACACAAGCCGCCCCACGGGCGCACAAACGTGCCGCCACGCCGGCGTACACACCCGGCACCCAGGCGCACATCGAAGCCGCCACGCAGGCGCATTCCTCAGCCGCCACCCAGGCGCAAACACAAGCCGCCCCACGGGCGCACAAACGTGCCACCACGCCGGCGCATACACCCGGCATCCAGGTGCACTCCAAAGCCGCCACACAGGCGCACATCGAAGCCGCCACCCAGGCGCACTCCAAAGCCGCTCCACGAGCGCAAAAACAAGCCGCCACTCAGGCGCAGGTTCAAGCCGCTCCACGAGCGCAAAAACAAGCCGCCACACAGGTGCACCCCGAAGCCGCCACCCAGGCGCACTCCAAAGCCGCTCCACGAGCGCACATCGACGCCGCCACACGGGCGCACTCCAAAGCCGCCACACGGGCGCACACCGAAGCCGCCACCAAGGCGCAAACACAAGCCGCCACACGGGCGCACACTGAAGCCGCCACACGGGCGCAACCCCAAGCCGCCACACGGGCGCAAACACCAGCCGCCCCACGGGCACACGCATCAGCCGTCGCAACGCAGGCGCACCCCTCAGCCGCCACGCAGGCGCAAACTCAAGCCGCCACACCGGCGCAAACACAAGCCGCCCCACGGACGACGGCACAAGCCGCCACACAGGCGCACCCTCGGGCAGACTCATCAGCCACCCAGGGGCACTCACCGCAACGCCCTGATGCGCCACGCAGCGCCAGGCACCCCAACGTGCGCACGGTCCCAAGCTGGGCCGGAGCGCTACCTCCGCCTGATCCAGTAGCGGTTCAGCGAAACCCATTTCGCAAAGGGGCCAAGAGGGTCCGCTTCAGCGATTTGGAACCACCACCTCCATCCTGCGGTATCGCTGACGCTGACTACGACATCGAGGAGGAACCGAGAGCCAGAGGCCACGAGGACAACTACCCGGAGCCCTGGATCAGGGAGTTTCTCGAACGAAAACTGTCCCGCTTCAACAGCATCGCCAACGTCTCCCACATCGCCGAGCACAAGATCGTGATGCGCCACGATCGCCCTATTAAGCAACGCTATCATCCACGGAATCCCGCGATGAGGGCCGTCATCGACCAACAGATCGACGAGCTTATCCGCGATGGACGCATAGAGCCTTCCAAGAGCCCCCCATAGCGCGCCGATAGTCATCGCGGCAAAGAAGAATGGAGAGGCCAGGATGTGCAACGACTACAGACAGCTAAACGAGAACTCGATCCCCGACGCTTATCCGCTGCCGCGGATCCACCACATCTTGGAGCGGCTGCGAAACGCCCGCTATATATCGATGTTGGACCTGAAGAACGGGTACTGGCAGATCCCAGTCGCCCCGGACAGCCGCGAATGCACCGCATTCACCGTCCCGGGCCGCGGACTATTTCACTGGAAGGTGATGCCTTTCGGGCTTCACTCGGCGCCGGCCACATTCCAACGGGCGCTGGACACCGTCATCGGCCCCGACATGGAACCACACGCTTTCGCCTACTTGGACGACATCATCGTCGTCGGCGCCACTCTCTCCGAGCACGTGCGGAATCTACGCGAGGTATTTCGACGGCTTCGAGAGGCCAATCTCCGCCTCAACCGAGACAAGTGCCAGTTTTTCCAGCGGAGCATAAAATATCTTGGCCATGTAATCAGCGAGGCCGGGATACAGACCGACCCCGACAAGGTCGCTGCCATCCGGGAACTGACCCCACCCACGAACCTGAAGGAGCTTCGCCGATGCCTCGGCATAGCGTCTTGGTACAGACGCTTTGTGCCAAACTTCGCGGACGTGGTCGAACCAATGACCTCGCTACTCAAGAAGGATCAAAGCTGGGGATGGACCGAGAAGCAGAAACAGGCGTTCCAGAAGTTGAAGGACCTGCTCACAGAGGCACCAATTCTGGCGTGCCCAGATTTCGAAGAGAAATTTGTACTCCAAACCGACGCAAGCGAATACGGCGTGGGAGCCGTACTCACCCAGACTATCGACCAACAGGAGCGCGTAATCGCTTACGCTAGCCGCCGGCTAAACACCGCCGAGCGCAACTATTCTGTTACGGAAAAGGAATGCCTCGCTATAGTATGGGCCATCCGTAAGATGCGCTGCTATCTCGAAGGATACCGTTTCGAGGTGCTGACCGACCACCACTCGCTAAAGTGGTTGAACTCCATCGACAACCCCACGGGCAGGATCGCTCGGTGGGCATTGGAGTTGCAGCAGTTCCAGTATGACGTGACATACCGACGCGGAACCCAGAATCTGGTCGCGGATGCACTATCGCGCCAGCCACTGGCCACCATGCAGCAGGCACAAGTTCAGGACATCAACTGTAAGTGGATCACGAAAATGCTACACAGGACCCGACAGGAGCCGGCCAAGTATCCAGACTTTCGAGAGGAGAACGGGTAACTTTACAGACGCATCGGGCTGCGCCCGGAGGATGAGGAATACACCCCCTGGAAACTATGCGTGGGCACTAACGACCGCGCAAGAGTGCTGACGGAATGCCACGACCACCCCACCGCAGGCCACCTGGGCGTGCGGAAGACAAGCACACGAGTCGCCCAGAAGTACTACTGGCCCGGATTATTTCGAGAAGTGGCCAAATACGTACGCCGATGCACAAGCTGTCAGAAGTTTAAGGTAAGCCAAGAAAAACCGGCCGGGAAAATGTTCACCCGCCAGGTCGACGAACCTTTCCACATACTATGTGCGGACTTCGTTGGACCCCTCCCACGATCCAAGCTAGGGAACACAGTCCTATTGGTGTTCCTCGACTCATTCAGCAAGTGGGTGGAACTCGTCCCACTGCGACGAGCCACGGTACCATATCTCGAACGAGCGTTTAGAGAACGGATCCTGAGTCGATTCGGAGTCCCGAAGACTCTGGTCTGTGACAACGGAACTCAGTTCACCAGCCGGGATTTCCGGACATTTTGCAAATCACTAGGAATGGAACTGCAGTATACTGCGCCCTACACGCCCCGTCAAAATCCTACGGAGAGGGCCAACAGGACCGTGAAAACCATGATCGCGCAATACCTGGGCGACGCGCCGCAGAACACCTGGGATCAACTCCTGCCAGAAATCTCGCTGGCCGTCAACGGTAGCGTGTCGGACACAACGGGATTCAGCCCCGCCTTTCTGGTACAAGGCCGGGAACCACGCCTACCCAATGCACTTTACGACGAAGTCACCCCGGGACGAGGAACCGCCCTGATTCCCCCAGCGGAGAGGAGCGAGCAGCTGCACAGCATATTTAAAGTGGCCCGCGACAACGCCGAACGTGCCACGGCCGAGCAAGGCCGGCACTACAATTTACGACGACGGGAGTGGAAGCCACCATTGGGCTCCCTCGTTCTCGCCCGCCATCATGTGCTATCAAACGCCGCCGAGGGCTTCGCGGCCAAACTGGCTGCGAAATATGAAGGCCCGTTCCGAGTGATCAAGTTCCTCTCGCCGAACATCGTCCGGCTGCAAGATATCGGGAGCCGCCGTCGCCGCACGGCCAGCATAAACAACCTAAAAGCATATCACCAAAGCAACGCGGACGACGACGAACATCAGAACGAGGATAGCCTCAGCATCACCGCAGCCCATGACGACCACGACGACCACGACGCCCGTGATCAGTCCAGAAGCCTCCACTCTGGCATCGGCTCTGATCCTAAGGAGCTATAGGAGCGCAGGAGCTTAGGATAGGCGCCACCCTCAAGCAGGCTAAAAGAGGGGTGGACTCTACTAATACGTTTGTTTATTTTCATAGATCCCAAATATTCGTTATTGGAATTGCCAGATCGACCGAAAAGCAACTTCGATACGTACGGGCAGCGCGCTATCGGATATCGATAAAGATAGCGCGATCTTCGCTCTGCAGACCCACGCGTTCAAACCTACAAATTGTGAGACGCAAAAGCTAAAAACATGCCGAGAGATAGGAACACGAATTCGCAGCGCCGCCATTCGCGCCATTCAGAGGACGAACCACGTCGCCGCCATCGCCACCGCCGCGATCGCCCGGCTAATCAGGACCCAGGTGAGCGCCCAAACACCGCGGCTTCCGCCACGACGATGCCCGCATTAGAGGGACTGCACCTGGCAGCCAACGCCACCAGCCCCAGGCGCAACTCGCGGCCACCGACGCCGACAAGCACGGTCGCCGCCGACACGGGGCGCCCACCGCGTCCGCCATCGGCCGCGCCCGATGCCACCGGATCCACCCCACCAGCGACCACCGCCGACAGCGACGCCCAGCCGTCGCCCGCGATCAGCCCCACATGGTGCGAAGGGCTGACCTACGAGGACGTGGTGGCCTCTATTTTTGAGGCAGAAGAAGAGCCGGACCCAGCCATCCCCTCGGTCCCCGCCTCGCCGACCCCCGTGGCCCGCTGGGCGCAATTTATGAGGAGGTCTCCGATGCTGAGGTGGTGACTCTCAGCTCGGACGACGACGAGCCACGGGGCGCGGCGATGGACACAGTTGTCCTTCTCGACGAGGAGGAGACCGTGCCGTGGGTACCGCCCCATCGAGAAACACCACCGCCCTCATACGAGGAGCTTTTCGGGCCGGGCCCGTACCCGGAGCCCGACCCTCCAGCATCAGCCGGGGTCAGCACCGCTGCCACCATGGCGGTGCGGGCCACCGGCGCCGCTGCCACGGGCACACCCAGGCCCGCACCCAGTGCCACCGACGCCAAGGAGCAGGCCACGCCCACGCTCACCGCCGCCGACGACACCGCCGACGCGGCAACCGTCCGGGCAGGAGCCAGCACCCCCACGGGGGATGACTTGCTCGCGCTCCTGCTGGGGAAGCTGGCCGCGTCCCCCGACGGACCCACCACGTCCGCCGCATCCCAGCAGCGGGAGGCAGTCCGGGCCGCGGTCCGAACAATAATGGCCACGATCCCCACGGCGGAAGCCACTGCTCAACCCGACGCAGCCGCTGGATCGACCGCCGGCATCCCACCGGCCGCCACTGCTCAATCCGACGCAGCCGCCGGATCGGCCGCCGGCATCCCACCGGCCGCCACTGCTCCACCCGACGCAGCCGCCGGATCGGCCGCCGGCATCCCACCGGCCGCCACTGCTCAATCCGACGCAGCCGCCGGATCGGCCGCCGGCATCCCGCCGGCCGCCACTGTTCAACCCGACGCAGCCGCCGGATCGGCCGCCGGCATCCCGCCGGCCGCCATGGCTCAACTAGACGCCGCCACCCAAGCGGCCGCCCAACCGGACGCCGCCGCCACCCAAGCGGCCGCCTAACCGGACGCCGCCGCCACGGCGCGCGCCCCGACGCCGCCTGACGGCACCGCGGCCACTGCAGCCGTAGCTGCCGTCCTGCCGTCCAGGCCCGTGCGGCGGGTGAGGCCTATGCCGGCCACCGACCAGCAGCGCTGGCGTGGCCGCCAGCCTTTGGCCAACCCCGAAGGCGAACCAGTCGGCCGCCCAGGCATCCTCCGCCGACCGGCCCCATGGCCCATGGAGGAGGCCAGTACTGACGAGGAATTAGGAGAGGACGCCGAGGAAGACGAGGAGGACGCCGACTCGGAGGAGGAGCTTCCCCCGGTGGATCCCCTGCCTCCAAACGCCCAGGTCCGCGCCCTCGACGGATGGGTTACCGAAGACGGGTGGGTACCCATCGCCCTCCTGCGTAGTATAGACGGGCATCTGCGCCAGCCGAGACGCCGGGAGGTGCGCTACCTGGAGGAGGTAGCCGGCATCCGCTATCGCATCCAGATCTCGACCAGCGGCCGGGTAAAGGTCTTCCCGCACCCCCGAGGAAGGGATGGGGTGTGAGGTAACCCTCACAAGGGCCCCCCCTCCCCCCTCATGTACATAGTAGTTAGGCGTAATTTATAAGGTAGAGTATAAGGTAGAACTATAAGGTTTAGGGTAAGGACGACCAAGACCCACGGAGGGCACCCCTTTTGTAATATTAAGGCCCATGAAGGGCATCCCGCTTTCCCTCAGTTAGACCCCGAGGGGACAATCACTTTTGAGTTGGGGTGTGGTGCGCCCCAGTACGGGCCACATCCCCGGCCACGCCGAGGATCACATCATCAACACGCAAAACCACATCAGCAACACGCAAAACCACATCAGCAACACGCGCATCAGCAACACGCACATCAGCAACACGCACATCAGCAACACGCACATCAGCAACATCCACGTCAGCAACATCCACGTCAGCAACATCCACAACCACGCCAGCAACATCTCCATCTCTCCAAACTTGAGCCCTCGGCAGAACCGACGGCCGGGTCCGGAGAGACACGGAAAAGAAGAGGAACGCACGATCGCGTAAGAGACGCGGGTGCGGGAGGCGGCAGACGAAAGAGGACGCCTATAGCCTGCACGAAAGCAGCGTAAGGGCCGCTGCCGCAGTCGACGGCAGCAGCGAGGGCTTCGAGCAGCCTTCGCTGTTCGCCGATCGTGGAGTTAGATTTTGACCATCGGAGTGAACGGAGTTAGTTTTTGACCATCAGAGTGGACGGTTGGATTTTGGCAAGCTGAGTGAACGGACGTGAGTGGATGGCGACAAGGATAAAAGGACACGTGGACATGGAGTCCCTCCGATAAGACGGGTGAGCCGGCCGCGGGCCAGCCCTACGGGGTGGCCAGCACGTGCGCAGGGAACTAGGGACCCTCAGGCATTAAGGAATTATGAATAAAGTTGTAAGAAAACCACAATTAACCATAGTCTTCTCTCTCCCAAGTCCTCCTTCCCCTTTCCCCTCCATACCTATGAGCACCGGCCGTCGGGTGACGGGGCCGGCATGCTGACTCCCGGGTGACGGGAGCAGCCGCTCAAATCCCGTATCTAGGAGCACCGGCCGTCGGGTGACGGGGCCGGCATGCTGACCCCCGGGTGACGGGGGCAGCCGCTCATAACCTGTACTGAGGAGCACCGATCCACGGATGACGGGATCGGTCGCTCAAAACCCCCCTCCCTCGTAGTTCGAGCACCGGCCGTCGGGTGACGGGGCCGGCATACTGATCCACGGGTGACGGGATCAGTCGCTCACTACATCCTTTCCTTGAGCACCAGCACCCGGGTGACGGGGCTGGCAAGTCGACTCCCGGGTGACGGGATCGACGGCTCGTAACCCTCCGCCCCCTAACAGGGCTCCGGCACCCGGTTGACGGGGCCGGATAAGCCGATCCACGGGTGACGGGATCGGTCGCCCTGGGCCTGCCCTGGTCCGCCGGCCGCCCGGGTGACGGGCCGACGGCATAACCACGGCACGCAACCCAAACTTTCCCCCTCAAACCCACGCCCAATTAGGGAACCCGCCTCCTTGTCCTGTCTGTCTCCGTAAATATAAATTATTTCTGTAGGGGACCCTGGATAGACTGAGTATTTATCCTGGCCCGTGATTAGCATCCTTACAACCTTAAGTGAAATGCTTTAATATTTTTACAATTTTTCTTTTGTTCAAAATTTGAATTTATGTAAATTTTTCGCTATTTGTATATGTAGATCTAGTTGGGTTTTACTGGGTTTCCCCAACTCTTTGCAGCGAATGCTGGATCTAATTGTAATCCCCAGAAATTAAGAAAGAAACAAGAAATTGAAAGATAAGCACAATCTCGTATGTCAAATTTTTGTTTTTTGCTCAATGTAACTTTTGAGGTGGCGTGTTGTAAAATATGAATATACATATATAAGGAAAAGTCACATTGATGCACATGCATTCATTTGATGCTTGTATGTGTGAGTGCGATGAAGGAGCCCTGCAGTTCTGGCTGTTCACAAGTGAATTTCGGCAATTGCCAATCATGTGTGTAGGAAAGGGAAACGGATATTCCTAAGTTTCCCTCTCTTCCTCACTCTTATAATACGATTTCGTTACTTGCACCCGACGGCGACCCGACTCCAAATTTGCCTTCTATTCTTTCGTTTTTCTTATTGCACTGTTGTCATTCTCCGTTAGAAACAAAAAATTATGTGGATGTGATGTGGATACATATAATATAACTCCCGTGTCATCTATGGTCGGTTATATCTAAAAAGAAGGGTATACTAAAAGGATGAAAAATAAAATTGAGCTGCGTCATTCTTTTGCGTAGTGCGTTGACAATATGTTGTCAAATTTCTTAATTTGTGCAACGGGAAGCGGAAATGTTTAAAAATCATGTAAGTGTCGTTAATATTACAAAAATATTATGTTTTTTACTACAAACTTATTTAAATCTTTTTAGGATTAAGCCATACACATGTATGTCCGATAAATTCGTTTGAAAGGTAAGTTTGCGCTAAATTAAAAAATTAAATATGTAATAACGAAAATATTTTTTGTACCATAGATGGACGCAAAACAGCCGATTTTCTGCAAATACTCCACATAAATGATAAACAAAAACTTTCGAATTTAATATTTTTAATGTGCTTATCTCTTATGTTCAAAAATAAGATATTTTATAAAATAAAAAAAAAATATATATATATATATATTGTTAGTAGTAGGATAATACGGGTCCTGGCCCACTAGGTAATAAATCATGTCAAAAAAAGGGGGTGGGGGTGACCCTAATTAGTCACGCATGGTTGCACACAGGTGTCATAATGACCTAATTAGCATAATTATGTAATAAAAGTGTGGGAAAAAGGGGGAAAAAAGGGGGTGGGGGTGATCGTTGAATGCACACAGGTGTCATAATGACCTAATTAGCATAAAAAGGTCACTTAATTAAGTTAGAAAGGGGTGTGAGGTGTGAGGATCACCCCAAAGAAATGGTGAAAGTGGGTGGGGTGTTTTGTCATGTCTTGTCTTGTCTTGTTTTCTTCTCACCCCAAAGGTGTGTGTGTGAGAGGGGTGTTTTCTCATGCGTAAAAATGTGTGGTTGCTTAGAGTGATCTTTAGCCGAATAGGGTGCGTAGGAGTGTGTGAGAGGGGTGTTTTGTCATGCGTTTGAATTTGTGATTGCTTGTGTGTGAGAGGGGTGTTTTGTCATGCGTAGAATTTGTGGTTGTTTAGAGTGATCTTTACCCGAAAATGGTGTGTAGGAGTGTGAGAGAGGGGTGTTTTGTGATGCGTACGAATTTGTAAAACGATATTTAGGTTGAGTAGTAGGAGGAGGAGGAGGAGGGGCAAGTTGTTTTATAATGCTTGCCCTTTTGTCATGTGTAGGAATTTGTAAAACGATATTTAGGCTGAGGAGTAGTAGGAGGGGGAAGTTGTTTTATTATGCTTGTCCGTTTTGTTTATTAAATTAGGGTTGTAGATGATATCTGTTAGTGTAACCTGTCTTCAGTGGTCTTGTGGTCAAAAGGTGTTGGTTTGACCGCATACTTTTGTGGTGTGAAACAAGCGTGAGTTCGAGAACCTCCCCCTCTTTAGCGAGCATTAGCGAGCATTAGATGGGGAAGTGAGCGTGAATATCTAAAGTATGTTGCTTCTAACTTGTATTAAGTTAAGGGGAGGGTAATCTTAAATGTTTCAATTCTATAGTGGTGGTGGTGGTGGTGGTGGTGGTTCCTAACAGAATATACACAAAAACAAATGAGATCGTTTATTTAGTCAAATGCGTTTTTATTTAATCATATTCAAAAAATTTTTTCTCACACGTTTATATTCTGAAAGAAAAACGGTTACTTTCCAAGTTTTCAAAAAGGTTAGGTGTTAAGGAGAAATGTGGAAAGTAGTTCAGTTTAAGAAAACTATCCGAGTTGAGCGAATCAAATAAAATCGTCGTGCGAACCCTCCGAAATTTCAAATCAAAGAAAAGTCGTGTTAATTTTTGTTTCAAGTGCAATCGATTTATGTGAACTTTTAAAATCTAATCATTATAAAAATCCAAAGACTTTACAGTTTAAGTAAAGTTGTACCAACTTGAGAAACACCCAAATTTGAGTTGTGTCTGTGTGTGTGTGTGTGAGCAAACTTAAATCAATTAGTTTACACAAAATAAAAATAAAATAAAATAAAATACTTTACAGTTAAAGTAAAGTATAATAAAGTGAAAAGAAGTGAAAACTAATCTATATAAAACAATACTTAAAAACAAAAAATCAAGATGAATAAGTACTGTGAAAAGTGCAACATTACCCTATCGGGTAACATTTCGTGGAGTCACCATCTGCGGACGGAGCAGCATAAAAGAAACGTTGTCGAGCCAGTGGATGCAAGAATTAAAAAAATCAGTTCTGGATTCCAAGGAAGGATAATTCAGTACTTGTATGAAAACACCATCAATGATGTGATTTATCCCACACAATTTATGGAGGAAGCAGGAGAAGCTTTTCTTCCCCACTTGTATCCATTATTGGAGAGCTATGGATCGGTGAAGCTAAACTTTGAGCTTTTCGGAAAATATGCACTCTTGAAGGAGGAAAAGGAGTGTGAGGAAATAAAGTCATTTCAAAGTAAAATGACAATAATCACCACCTACTCCAATATAGAAACCGAGTATAAGGAGCATATGGAGAAAATTTTGATGAGGATGGAGGAATTCCAAGAAAGGGATAGTGGATGGACATTGATTCATCTAATTCGATTGGAAATGAATATTAATCAATATTCACCCTTAAGAGGATCTTCATATATACAACTACCCACATCTTTAAAAAATAAAAAAGCTATTATAAATGTACAAAACCTGAGTGATGAGTACTGTTTTAAGTGGAGCTTAATCGCTGCATTAAGCAATGTGAATAAACATGCAAACAGGTGCACAAGTTATAAAGTGAACATAAATGATGATCTCATTCAAGCTAATGGGATCACATTAAATTTCAGTGGATTGGAATTTCCACTCAAACCTACAGACATAAATAAATTTATGAAAATAAATAAAGACATTAGTGTAACACTATTCGGATTCGACGATGGAGCTATTTTTGGACCCATATTTTATTCCTCAGAAGTGAGGAAAACTTCGATAAATATGTTGTTACTGGAGGAAGGATGCAAAGCACATTACACATGGATAAAAAATCTATCAAAGTAAGTAGTTTTATAATATCATTATTATGTATTTGTATTATTAATTTTTGTTTGTGTTTTTGTTTTAAATTTCCTAAAATGTAAATGTTTTCATATTTATAAAAAATTTTGTTTTTTTTTTGTTTATCTTTTATTTTAGTTTGGTTTCCTCTCAAGTGTCGGGAGATAAATCAAAGAAATGGTTCTGCCAAATTTGTTTGAACTATTCCTTGAGTGAGGATGCTGCCAACCGACACTCTGAAGTGTGTGGTAAAAGGGTGTCACGTTTACCAAACCCGAGGGATGCAGTTTTAAAGTATATTAATTTTCAAAAGGAAGTGATGATACCATTCACAGTTTACGCTGATTTTGAATGCATCCTTCAATCTATTAATAAAAATGAAACAAAAAATTTAAATATAATAAATATTCATAAGCCTATATCATATGCATACTATATAAAGTGTGCACATGATAATAGTTTAGATAAGTTTGTTTTAGAAACCAAAATAAACTCAGGAATGAATTTTATCTCATCTCTGATAGAAAATTTAACTTTTATATATGAGAATCACATTTCTAAAAATGTTCCAATAGAAATGTCTAATGTTGATGAAGAAGATTTTAAAAAATCTATTAATTGTCACATTTGTAACACTCCTCTTTTATTAGATAGAGTTAGAGATCACTGCCACTTCACAGGAAAATTTAGGGGTGCAGCACATAATAAATGTAATTTAAAATATAAAGTTCCAAAATTTATTCCGGTTTTCTTCCACAATTTCACCAGGTATGATTGCCATTTATTTATAAAAGATTTGGCTCTCATACCTGGTGAAATAAAGGTAATCCCATTAAATAAGGAACAGTATATTTCAATATCAAAAATTATAACTTTAAGTAATGGTGAAAACTTTGAAATCCGTTTTCTAGATTCATTTCGATTTATGCCTTCTGCATTAGATACATTAGCTTCAAACCTGGATAGTGATCAAATGCATATAACAAGATCATTTTTCCCAAATGAAACTCAATTTAACCTTATGCGAAGAAAGGGTGTATTTCCTTATGAATATTTAGATTCAGTTGAGAAATTAAAAGAAAGTAAATTACCTCCTAGAGAAGCTTTCTATAGTTCCTTAACTGAAAATGAATGTTCGATTGAAAATTACACTCATGCGCAAGAGGTATGGAATGAGTTTTCATGTGAGAACTTAAAAGATTATTTAGAGTTATACTTGAAAACTGATGTTTTGTTAATGTCTGATGTCTTTGAAAACTTCCGAAGACTTTGCATTCAAATTTATTCCCTTGATCCAGCGCATTTTTTCACAACACCAGGTTTATCATGGGAAGCTATGTTAAAATGTACCAAAATTGAATTAGATTTATTAACTGATATAGATCAGTATAAATTTATTCAAAGTGGTATTCGAGGTGGCTTAGTTCAATGTACATGTAGATATGCAAAAGCAAATAATAAATATGTTGAGAATTTTGATAGTACTCAAAAATCATCATATTTAATTTATTTGGATGCAAATAATTTATATGGTTGGGCTATGTCACAATCTTTACCATATGGAGGTTTTGAATGGGTTTCAAGGGAATCACTTGATAATATCACTATTTCAGAGATAGGAGAAGATAGTGAATATGGCTACATTTTTGAGGTAGATCTAAAATATCCTTATAAATTACATAATAAACATAATGATCTTCCATTTTGTTGCAATAATCAATTACCAACAAAGTCAGATAAAATTAAAAAATTAATTGCTGATTTGAGGGATAAAGAAAAATATATTATTCATTATAAAAATCTTCAACAGTGTATAGAAAATGGTTTAATTCTGACAAAAATCCATAGAGGTCTTCGTTTCTTTCAGAAGCCTTGGTTAAAAACATATATTGACTTGAATACATTCCATAGAACTAATGCAAAAAATACATTTGAAAAAGATTTTTTTAAACTTTTAAATAATGCTGTCTATGGAAAAACCATGGAAAATGTAGATAAACGAGTGGATGTGAAATTAATAACAGAGTGGGAAAGTGCTTCACCATCAGATTCTGCTGGTCCTAAAAGGCATTGTGCTAGATCTCTTATATCAAAGTCCAACTTCCATAGTGTAAAACAGTTTTCAGAAAACTTCTTTGCTTTTCAAATGAAAAGGTTAAATGTTTTATACAATAAACCTTTATATTTAGGTTTTGCTGTTTTAGATCTATCCAAATGGAAAATGTATGATTTTCATTAAATTTATATTAAACCCAAATACAATGAAAATGTGCAACTAAATTATATGGATACGGATTCTTTTATATACACAATTAATACTGAAGATTTTTATAAAGATATTCAGAATGATATTGAGATGACGTTTGATACATCAGATTATTCTGATGAATTATTAAATCTCTATAATTTCCCTAAAGCAAATAAAAAGAGGTTTGGATTTTTTAAAGATGAACTCAATGGAAGACCGATGAGTGAATTTGTTGGTTTAAGATCTAAAATGTATGCCTTTAAATCATCTAATATTATTGATAACTCTGAAAAAACAGTAAAAAAATCAAAGGGAGTTAAAAGAAGTGCTATTGATCAGTTAACTTTTAATAGTTTTAAAAAATGTTTGTTTTCGGAAGAGGAAGTGGTAGGATCTATGACAATGATTAGATCTAAGAATCATATTTTATCAACAGTTAGATGTAAAAAAGTGGTTCTCAGTCACAAAGACACAAAGCTAGTTATACAAGATAATAAAATTAATACACTACAATATGGACATTATAAAATAGAAGAAAACAAATTAGAAAATAAACTTGATGAAATAAATGCAAATATTTATGTTTACGAGCAAAGAATTAAAGAAATAGAGAATTGTCCTAATAGAAATAATTATCAAGACATTGAAATAGAAAAATTTAAGAAAAATATTGATGATTGTACATTTGAAATGTTTTATACAGAATTAGAATTAAATTTACTAAATTGTGAAAAAGAATAAATGTAATCTATAATTATAAATAAAACAATGAAATTTTAAATTTAAATAACAAACATCGCTTTTTATTTAAAGGTTAATTGAAGGTAATGTATAAACCAAATATTACAAATTAAAACAGCATTATAAAATTTTTATTTTAAAGAACAAACATGGTTTTATTTAAAGGTTAGTATTACAATTCAAAACAAGATTATAAAATTTTTATTTTAAAGAACAAACATTGCTTATTAGAGGTTAATGTTAAAATTTCCCAGAACAAGATTATAAAATTTTTATTTTAAAGAACAATTAAAATGGTTTCTTAGAATTACACTCAATTTGCTTATTTTCTTCAATATTTAGTGGTATAGTTTGCACATAACTATTTATACCACCCTCTATTATAAAGATTTTATCATCGTCATTACTTAAAGTAATAGATTTTGTATATTCATCATTATCCTTATCTAAATTTAAAGGTATAGTTTGCACATAGTTGTTAATTCCACCTTCAACAAGAACAGTTTTGTCCTCACTTGATGATCTTGTGATGCATGGCTCTGGATTATCCTCATCGTAAATGATTACTTCGTGGTCATCATCATCATCATCACCATCATCATCATTATGCTCATCATGGTCATCATACAAAACCAGAGGGTCTGAAAATAAAAATATTATTAGTATATATAAATATTATTTTATATATATGTATATATTGTTCAACTCACCTTTTGTACTCCACTCGAAATAGTTTTATTAAATTCTGTATTATTATTATTTTGAAATTCTGAAAATAAAATATTATTAGTATATATAAATATTATTTTATACATGTATATATTGTTCAACTCACCTTTTTGTACTCCACTCGAAATAGTTTTATTAAATTCTGTATTATTATTATTTTGAAATTCTGAAAATAAAATATTATTAGTATATATAAATATTATTTTATACATGTATATATTGTTCAACTCACCTTTTTGTACTCCACTCGAAATAGTTTTATTAAATTCTGTATTATTATTATTTTGAAATTCTGAAAATAAAATATTATTAGTATATATAAATATTATTTTATACAAGTATATATTGTTCAACTCACCTTTTTGTACTCCACTCGAAATAGTTTTATTAAATTCTGTATTATTATTATTTTGAAATTCTGAAAATAAAATATTATTAGTATATATAAATATTTATTTTATACATGTATATTTTGTTCAACTTACCTTTTTGTACTCCACTTGAAGTAGTATTAGCAACTTCTTCATTTAAATTCTGCAAAACAAACATATTTCCCTGCTCAATCAGATAATATTGTCACTATTAGTTATTTTGAAATCATTAATATCATTAATTGGAATTTTATCTGTACTAATCTCACTTTCTTTTTATTTAAATATTCAATTAGCATTTGAGATGCTAAATTTCTTTTCCTCAAATATAGTCCATTAATTTTTTCTGCTGCTTCGATACCTATTTCATTTATTTGTGGGCCATCGTTAAGATATCCTGGTTCTTCATCTCCTATCTCTTCCCGTTTACTATCTTGTATAGAAAGAAGATCGGCATCTTTCGAAATTCTTTCATATACTTTTCTGTCTTTCTGCCTCTCTGCATGTATTACTGAGTGTGTTAAAACTTCAGCAAACTCAAAACAATTTATTCTTAATGTTGCTAGAGGGGTATTTACATTTCGTTTGTTTTTTCGTTGGTGGTGGCGAGGAGATAAATGTTTTATATTCCTACGTTTTGATTTATTTTCACTACGTTTAACATGTGATCTTCTATATATATTATTATAGTGACATTTAACACCTACCGTAGCACTTTTATATGCTATGGTGAAGAATCTATTTAACCCCCTTCTTCCTAAATCCAGATGCCCCCCTATTCTCCTTTCATTTTCAATTAACTGGTTTTTAAAATTTTCTATTATTCCTCTCTTAGTAAATTCTATTTGAGAGTTATGTATGTTTTCAGCGTTTTTTAATTTTTGAGTTGTGTTTCTTTTTATTGGAACTCGTCCTACACTTTCGAATTCGGTATCGCTATCATTGATACCCAAAACTATTTCTTTAGAGGTATTAGTTATTTTAGAAGCTCGACTTACGTTTGGGAAATCTGCCTCACTATTATTGATGCCCATAACAATTTTTTGAGATTTTATTGATTCTATGTTTTTATTTACGATATTTTCAACATTTATATCTTTAGTAATAATATTAAAAAGATTGGGTGGGTTTGATGTTGTTGTTGTTGCAGATGTTGCTGATGTTGCTGATGTTGCAGTTGTTGTTGTTGTTGTTGTTGTTGTTGTTGTTGCTGTAGTTGCAGATGTAGTTGTAGTTGCAGATGTTGGGGTAGTTGATTCCCCTTCCTCCTCCTCATCCAAACTACTTTTCAAAGTAGGTGAGTTTGATGTTGTTGTTGAAGGTGTTGTTGTTGTTGTTGTTGCTTTTATTGTTTCCTCAACTGCGCTTGCAGTTGATTGGTTCACATTAATACTATTATTAGTATTCATTATTTTCATATCAAGTTCACTCACATCATCACTACTCTTGTTCAAAAGATCCATAAAAATATGGCTATCTTCTAAGATTTCAAATTTGAAATCAATTTTTATAATTTTTTTTATTTTTGGCATATTAATAAATAAGCCAATTGAATTATTTGATTTTGACGGGTTCTCAATAATAGTAATTTCACTAGGCACCGTAGTAATTTCACTGGGCACCGGTGACATTTTCACTACCGGATTTATAAGTGAAATTAAAAAAATATTATTAAACACGACATTTTTTGTTTTTATTAATCAACCGAAGGCACGCACAAACGAATAGACGAAATTGACTTGCGTGAACGAATAGACGAAATTGACTTGCGTGAACGAATAAACGAAAACTGAATACTTTTTGAAATTCTTTCCCTTTATAACCTCCAGATTTGTAAATGTATATATATATAAATATATACATGAGTCTATTTCACGCATTGACGTCAATGCGTACATTTTAATTGTTCTATGCTTCAAATTGTTGTTGTTGTTGTTCTAGTTGCAGATGTAGTTGTTTTTGTGAATCCAACTATCTGCTAATTTTAAAAAAGTCTACACAGTGCGTAACTATACAATCATCTTTTTGTTTTAGAGTTCAAGTTCCATACAAAATTCTTATCTATACACGCACGCTCTCTTAACCTACTCAACACACAAGCACATAATCAATTCCATTCGAATTCTTATCTTTACATGTTTCTTCACACGCACACACACACTTTATAAATAGAAATTGTGCGTGTGAAGAAACATCCCTGCAGTTCCAAAAGTGGCTTGTCGTCGATGACATGGACGACGACCCACCGATGCCAGTGTCCGTAGCACCTGGTGTCGCACTGATGTCACTTCATATAAAGTTTTGTATGGCATTCTAGGATTTGACATGCATGTCGCTCTCGATGACCATTTTGTCCGAGTCATCGAGCGAGGCATCGATGGCTTATACGAATTTTGTATGCAGAAAATTCGTATAAGACATCGATGATATCATAGATGGCGTAGAGGCGATGTTGTCATCGATGGCTTTTGCGAGGGTACCCTTAGTGAAATCATCTATGCCAATGTCTGAAATGTCATCCCCAAGTTCATATGAAAAACAAATATATATATATTTTTTTTTTTTTTATTAATAAATCTTATTTTGTAACATAAGAGATAAGTACATAAATAATATGAAATTAGAAAGTTTTTGTTTACCATTTATGTGGAATATTTACAGGACAACGGCTGTTTTGCGTCCATCTATGGTACAAAAAATATTTTTATTATTACATATTATATATGTATTACTTTTTTTAATTTAAAGCAAATTTACCTTTCAAACGAATTTTTCGTACACACAGGCTGAATCCTAAAAAGATTTAAATAAGTTTGTAGTAAAATACATAATATTTTTGTAATCTTAACGACACTTACATGATTTTTAAACGATTCCGCTGCCCATTGCACAATTTAAGTAATTTCACAACTAATTGTCAACGCACAACGCAAAAGAATGAGCAGTTCAATATTATTTTTCACCCTTTTAGTATACCCTTCTTTTTTGGGTATAACCGACCATATATGACACGCGAGTTATATTATATCTATATTTGCAATCAATGTTGTGTTATGGTTATCTTGGTTCAATAAATTAAATAATGTTTATAAAATATATTTAATATATATGATTATATATATATATTATACCTAATATATGAAGAACTTTAGCATCAAAAGAGTATACATAAGTCGAGCGCCCCTCAGCCATATTTTCCACCGAAAACCAATTTTTTGTTTCTAACGGAGAATGACAACAGTGCAATTAGAAAAACGAAAGAATAGAAGACAAATTTGGAGTCGGGTCGCCGTCGGGTGCAAGCAACGAAATCGTATTATAAGAGTGAGAAAGAGAGGGAAACTTAGGAATATCCCTTTTCCTTTCCTACACATTGATTGCTTGAATGCCACGAGACACCAGGTGACAGCCAGAACTGCAGGGATAATTTGATTTCACACATTGACGTCAATGCGTACATTTTATTATACCCTTGCAGAGCAAAAGGGTATTATAATTTCAGTCAGAAGTTTGCAACGCAGTGAAGGAGACACCTCAGACCCCATAAAGTATATATATTCTTGATCAGAATCACGAGCAGAATCGAAATATGTATGTACGTCTGTCCGTCTGTCCGTCTGTCCGTCTGTCCGTCTGTCCGTCTGTCCGTCTGTCCGTTTCCGCGCAAACTAGTCTCTCAGTTTTAAAGCTATCGAGCTGAAACTTTCCCAAAAGTTGTATAGTTGTTGCACGCAGTATATAAGTCGGAACGAGCCGGATCGGCCGACTATATCGGATAGCTCCAATACAAGAGAATGAAATAAAAAATTCTCACTCTGTTGTTTTTCATCAGATCGACTTGAATTCTTCAAGATGGCGTTTTCAAACTGTTATTGAATTTCGGATTAAATTTGATCAAAATCGGATAACTCTATCATATAGCTGCCATAGGAGAGATCGAAAATTATATATAGAATTAATGGAAATAAATTGATAACATCGTTGTTTTTCATCAGAAAAGTATGATTTTTGGAATATTGAGTGTTCTTACGACTCTTGAATTACGAGTTAAATTTGATCAAAATCGGACAACTATATCGTATAGCTCCCATATCTCTATAGTCAAAAAAATGGGAAATGAATAGAAAAATCGTCTTAGCTTCGATGTTGTCTAGCCTTTATGCGTTTTGTTCGACATATTTGATGACTGCAAGGGTATATAAGCTTCGGCTTGCCGAAGCTAGCTTCCTTTCTTGTTTTTCAATGTCTTTGCTTATTCTTTATAGAATTTCTTTTTGTGAATCCAACTATCTTCTGATTTTGGAAAGCCTAGCCAACGCACAAACACATTATCACCTTTTTGTTTCAGAATCTTTTCAACAAGATAAGTATTAGGGAATTTTGTTTTTTTAATTTCTTGTTTATAGAAGCCCCCTTGAATTGGATCACCCTTCAAGTCTTCAAGTAAATATGTGGTGGGGGATGTATTTTGTACTTTCCGAATTCGAAAAATTTCCGTTGTCCAGTTTGGAGTATAACCTTTTTCAAAGACATGCTTGTATTTACTTATTCGTACATGATCCCCCTCTTTAAACTCTCCATTTGTGAATATTTTTAGATGATTGTATGATCTCATCAAAATCTGTTTTTCATTTTTAACATTAACATCAATGGGTTTCATTTTAATTGTTCTATGCTTCCTATTGTTATAATTATTAATCAATTCTTTGTATATTTGAAGCCATGTGTATTTTCCATTAAAACTGAACTCACGCCACATAAGTTCTTTTAGTGTTCTATTAAAACGTTCCACAATAGATGCTTTAAGAGTACTAAATGTTGAGTAATGATTAATTTCATATCGTTTCATCAATTCTCTAAATTGTTTATTATAGAATTCATTTCCATTATCTGTTTGTAAATTCTTTGGTACTCCACGACCAGATTTTATTATTTTTTCCATTGCTCTTGTAACTTCTTCTGCATTTTTTGATTTTATTGCTTCACCCCATCCATATTTAGAAAAGGTATCTATTACTGTTAATAGATACCTAAAGCCTTTATTCGATGATGCATATGCCCCCATTTCAACCAAATCAGCCTGCCATAAATCATTAATACCCTTTACTATAACTCTACGTCTTGGAAAATTCTTAAATGATGGTCGATGTAACTCATTTACAATATCTCGTTTACTCATAATTTTATTTTATTTGGTACAAATGGTTTCTTCTCTAAAGATTCAGTTTCAGTTTTTAAAACTGCGGTCGGTGCAATGATATAATTGAAAATGTTACTTTCTATTTCATTTATATCCTCTACGATCTTATTAATAGTTTTCAACAGAAAATCCAATTTTTTAGAAATTTCACTCACTTTTTCCTCAATATTATTGATTCGAGGTCTTAATCTAAAGATTTCTTGTTTCTGTGGTTGTTTAGAAATTTCATTAGATGTATTCTGTACTAGTTTACTTATTTCATCATCAACATAAAATTTTGTTGCAATATCATTTTCATGAATGGGAGGTAGGGAATTTTTAAATCGTTTCCTCTTAATATTTAAATGTCCATCATAATCATTGAGTATACTTTGGAATTTTTCTACACCTTTTGTTATATCTCTTGAGTACTCTTTCTCATTTAAAAAACAACCAAACTTATCAACTGACATTTTAATTATAAAATAAATAATGAAAGAACGGTATATTTATGTATGATCCACATTAATTGTTAAGACCTCTTCTCCGTTTTTACGACGTGAAAATGGACTACTTCGAAGTATCGTTCCATCTATTTGTATCTGATCAGAACGAATTTGGGGCGGTGCGGGTTTTTTTAAATTTTCGTTTATGAAATTGTTAAGATTTTCCAATTTATCAAGAAGCTCTTTTAATGTATTATGTATATACTCCATTTGAGTTATCATTTTTATTACTTTACTTTCCAACTCTGATACTCTTTTATTTCGTAGTTGAAATGATTTAGTTATAGTTTCCATTTGTTGTGATTTCGCTTCGTTAATTTTCTCATCTACATAAAATTTAATAGCCAAATCATTTCCATTTATTGGTTTTGAAGAGTTTTTAATTCTTTTTTTCTGAACATTTATATGACCATCAGTATCTAGATTTAAACCTGTAAGAGTCTCAACTTCCCTTTTGAAAAGAGAGGAAAAATCTCTATCATTTGAAAAGTGACCAAACTTGTCAATAGACATTTTACTATTAAACAAAATGAGAAAATGTTTTGCATTTTATTAATATATTATTTTTGCTTCACGCAATTCTTCTATTATTGAAAGAATTTCATTAGTATGGTTATTATTACCAGCAGCTCTTGATGCCATTAAGAGTTGCAATCTTTCAACAAGTTCATTAACATTATCCCAATATACATAATTTGGTGGTAATTTTTGTACTCTCATATACCCAGAACCAGTATATTCTTCATTTACTGGAGACGACGATGATGATGATGATGATATTAATGGTTTAATAATTGAAGAATATTTTTTAGAACGATTTCCTTTTATTTGACCATCTGGTTGATAGTTTCTTTTGTGAGCACTTGTTTCAATTAAAATGTTTCTATATGATTCTAAATCATTCTTAGTATAATCGATAGGACTGTTATGAAAAATTAAAGAGTATAAACCAGGAGATAGTGTCCATAAA